CGGCGGGGCCGAGGGCGGGGGGCTGGGGGGGGGGGGTGACCCTATGGTGCTGGAGGCGGGATGCTACGTTGGTTCTGGGCCTGCTTAGCAAGCAAAGGAAGCACCGACTCTGAAGAGGTGCTTGTGTGGGATTTTGTGGAGGCTCCCGCCAGTTCCTAGGAAGCTTGTGGGTGGAATTTGGCTTGTGCAATGCATCCTGCAGATACCGAAAGCCAACTGCCTCGCTCGCTGTCCAGGTGGCACGACTGGCTTGGCGTTTCAGCTGGGGTCCAAAGTTTGCTGGGAAAAATGACCCCAAATGTGGCCAGGCAGGATTGTGCCTGGCAGTTGTTGGATGCCCCTCACTGTCCAAGCCCCTTCAAAGTAAGGGCCAGGCTGGAAGTCTCAACAGACAGCACAGGAACAATGAGTTTGCTATGATGGATCAGGCCACTGCCTGGTAACCATGCCGACCAACAGCAATTCTGGGCCCAGGGCAGATATCAATGGGCCCCCTGCATGGGGCCACAAGGCCTCCATCTGGAGAAGCCCCAAATGCTCCCCCCACCAGAGGAGTCCTGGCCCGGCCCCTTCCCCCACTTGCTTGGATGAGTCCCAGGGCAGCTACACCTCCCCTCCTTTCCCCAGATCCAGTCAGCCTGCAGCAGTGTCTCTTGCTTCAGAGATGCTTTCCCCAGAGAAGGGAGAAGTACAGTGACCACGCCCCCCAGGCCCCGTTAAATCCCCCAGGCCTCTGGACAATTGCCCCGTTACCCTCCCCGTCGGCCGACTGCCTCCTGGCTCAGGCACTGTCTGGTGCCTCACAAGAAAGTGCAGTTCCCTGGCCAATTGCACCGGGCTGCACGTTGGAGGGACAACGTTCCCTCTTTGTCTGGCCAGCCATGTGAGGCGCTCAGAGCCAGACACCACTGAAGCTGAGCAAGAATAAATTCAAAGTTTCCAAACATTGATGGGGGGAAGAGATTTTAAAGAGGGCCTTTTGGAGGACTGCACCCTCTCAAACCAGCTGAAATGGCAGCATGAAAGTGTGGAGAGGCACATCCAGTGCTCTGTGTAGTAAAAGGTTGGTTTTGGCTAATCAGCTAGGGTATGTGTTGCTGCCCGCTACCACAGAAGTGGGGAGCAGAGGGCCCAGTGATATCTGCCCTTGGCCCAGAATTGCTGTTGGTCTGCATGGTTACCAGTATAATTTACCAGGTCAGAGGCCAGAGAGAAACAAATCCAGGCAAGATTTCAGGACAATCTGGTTAGTGTTCCCAAAGTACTATTGAGTAATCAGCCGCACGGGAGTCAGCAGGGCAGGTCCTTGTG